GCACGACCCTGCCCAACACGGCAGCTCTGCGCTTCTGCRCTCTCCTCGCATTCACACCGCTGAAACTTTGGGCTCGTGCCCTTCCTTCCTGGGAACAACTGCCTCTCTGCCATTCTAACGCGTCTTCCTGGTGCTCACAAGCTGCTATTGAGGCATGTGCCCTGGAAGAACGCCCTRGGCAAAGTCATGGAGAAGCTTCTCCAAGTACTTAAGGATCACCTACACTGCGTCTCCTAAAACCTTACTGCTGCACAGCTGATACTCCACATCAGTATGGAAATAACAGCTGTCTTACTGCACTCCTCTATATTCCTTCTGTTTAACTTATCCATCTGCTGACTCATATTGCACATATACGWTATCCACGCGGGAGAACGTTTTGTGGTTTTGTGCACACAGGCTACAGCAGTGGGACCATAACTCCAGGAACATCACAAGAGCGTCAAAACCTCACTTGCCCAGCTTGTAACGCAACTACGTGCTGACGATGGGGTGTTTGTGAGAGCTGCTGGCAGCGACGAGGGCACAAGGACATTCCAGTATAATCCACCCAACTGAAGTTCCACGACGCCTGAGCGGAAGGTTAGTGGGCTGCCACGTAGGTATGGGCCAGATTAGAGGAACTCTGTGTTGCAGTTTGTCACGAAGCTTTATTCAAAGCGCTGCGTTGCCCTCACATCGTCATAAACAACASTGTCACACAAGAAAGAAGGCATTTCTGCAGGTAATTTCTACTAAATCTCAGTGTGAGCATTTATTCTGCCATATACATCGTGTGCTCTCAAATAGTGAGTCTCATCAAAATACCTGCCTGGCAGGACATACAAATGCACAGGGGTAGCATTACATATTCCTAACTGCACTGATCAGCAGGGGACACCCAGCCTTGTTCAGCTGATGGATTCATGTAAAATCTGTGACCTGGAGAACTTCAAACAAACAGAATCAGCGACAAGTATATTTGTTCTGGACTCAGAAATACCAACTTTATTTATAATATTTGTAATTAAAATTAATATTATCCAGGTGCTAAGCTATTTAACATTACTTGCTCCTAGCACAGACCTCAAAGCTGCCTCTTTTTTAAAGTCTGTGAACTGTATCGGGTAGCGCAAAGATGGGAATTCTGTGATCCCACTTGCTTAAACTATTTAATAACCTGCCTACATTTTCTGCATATCAATAAATGAAGTGGAATACAAAATGTAACATCTGTTTCCTCCTCTGTTTAACATAAGGAGGTCAGATTCTAAACAAATACATTGAGGAAGTCTTTTTTAGGAATTTGTTAAGCTGAATTCAGCTAATCAAGACAGCAAAAATCTTGTGTATTTCCAGAATGACCTCTCTGTTTGACCTGAAAATTGTGTATATTATTTTAAGCTCTGCACATGCAAAATCTACATGATGAAGCCCCAATCTTCTTGTCTTTCCTTTTATCTTTTTCTTCATAAAACTTTTAAAAAGCAGAAGTGYGTTTGTGAAACTCAGCACAAAGAGGGCTTCAGATGTATATTTGTAATGCAAACAAATGCTTCTCAGCAATCAAAAGTCAGGAGGTGTGAAACATCCTCAAGATTTCAGCAATGTTATGTTTTGAATAAATACTAATTTATCGGCTTAGCTGATTTCTAGTTTACTCATTCACAGTAAGTCAAGTAAATACATTCATCAGCTTATTACTGAACATTCAATAAAGACAGAAGATCCAGCACTCACACTACAAAGATATCTTTTTCTCTCTTCATTTTCCCAAGTCACATCTTAACTGACTGCAGAATTAGGCTTTAATGATCAATGAATAGGTTTTCTATTTCATTTTTAGAGCTATGGAAGAGTTTAACAAAAAACAAGGCAGATATGCATTCTTATCCATAGGCACCAGGATAATTTGCATTTCATCAGATATAATTCCTCAAATTATCTTATTTCAAAATACAGAAGTACAACTGCAGATTATTCTGCAAAAAATATATTTTGGAATGCAGTCGCATACTGAGGTAAAAATTACTTCTTCTGGAKAGTCTGATGGAAAACTAATTAAATAAATCAACAAAAACTGTTGGAGAAATAGTCAACACTGAGTCTGATATCCTTTCCAACAGACTGCAAAATTGGACCTGGCCTCAAATCTGTGGCTATTTGAACGTGACACCCTGTCCAGGTCACCATCCTCTCAGTTCCACCAACACAACAGGACATGGTGCCATTTGTCTGCTCAGGGCAGGAATGAGCCACTYTAAACTTGCCTTTTTAATCACTTTTGCTGCCTTTCTACACAGAGCTTCTGCAGAGCAGTAACATAACTACTCTTCCCACCACGCCTGGTCTGCAATCTCCCAAGAATGAATCTGGCTCTTCCCTTACCCGTCATCTTTGTAACATCCCTTGGAGATGAGACACACTCATGACCCCAGGGCCACATGCGCATGCCAGACACCCACCTGCTAGCCCAGCATCTCTCTGATCCCTGAAATATTCCCAGAGACGCAACCACACTGGAAATGTATTTTCTGCTTTTACCACCTCCTGCACCACAGCGTCTTTATCCTCCAAAATAAATTCCCAGAATTAAATAACCTTTCCAGCTTGTGTTTTCTGACCTACAWCTGTCAAGCTCCAAAAGCTCTTCAAATCATCTTTTCCAAAGTTTTTTCCTCTGTTCTGAAGAAAACTATGATTCTCCTCTCTGGATCACAGTGATTTCTTCAACCTAATTTGAAAAGCAGTTGCAGAGCAGAGAACTAGCATGGCAGCAGCCAGCTGCTTGCATTTGAGGTCAGATGATATTCCAGCAGTTTAGAGTTGCATGCAAGTTCTCATGTGATGAATTAGGAAGTCAGCATGTTTGGGTTTTTTTTTTCCAGAATTAGCTGCCTATTATCAGTGCTGCTAAAAGAGAACAGTGCTTCAAAAGATGCAACAAAAGCAAGCACTGAATGGATGTTTTAGAGACTGAAAACGTGCAGTGGGACTAAAGAGGGAGTGTAAAAGGACACAATTGTCCAYGGGCATTTGAATTACCTGAGAGATGAAAAGGGAAGAATTTTAATTAGTTTACATTTACTCAGAAAAATAAATAACTAAAGTTTACAACAAGCACCAAGTGAAGTTTGTCAAGCACAAAATCCCTGAGGTTTTGTAAAACGTAGCCAYTGTCTCCTTCTATGTCCAATGCTTAAGTTGCCAGTGATAATAGGGAAGAGCGTAGCCTAAAGCACAATTAGCTACTAGCAGAAGAAATTATTAAACGAACAATCACGTCCCAAAATTTAGCCTGAGGATTGATGATTAAACAGCACCACCTAGTTATAAAAACAAGAACAGCACTTGCTCAAGTGCCAGCTCAACACACACCCGATTAACTGGCCCTGCAGCTACTGCATAAACACAGTAGTAGTATCACCTTCTAGCCCTTSCCTTCTCCAAACGCTTATATGAAGACAGCACTTACTAAAGCAGTCAAGTTTTCACATCAGACTTGCTCATTAGAGAGCCAATAACAAGAGAAACAGATCATTCGAGCTGCACATCTGCAGTTCAGCTCTCTGGATGAAGCGGTATCTATTCACCACCATCAGCAGGAAAACAAAAAGCATTTCCCAATTTTAACAGGCGCTCGTTTTCTTCGGCATCAGCTCTTGCCATTATGCACAAGGAATTCTTTTTGAGTCGAGCGGGTCTGATCTCAGCCGGTGCCAAACTTCAGCTAGGAAGATACTCCCTCAAGGGCCTGCTCTGCCTGCCTGCCTTTCTCAGCTCGCAGGGAAGGAATGAGAAGGCTGGTCTCCGTGACACCATAACCCTTCACCACTAGACAGGAAAGCATTTGGGAGTGTCTCCGTTTGAGGCAAGAGTCTGTTGATTTTACCCTCCCAAAATTCCAATCCTAGAAGTTAACAGCGTGCCACTTTTGCCGCAGATTGCTACAAGCCGTTATAAGGACAGGGAAGCTTCAATTTTTTAATTTATTTTTTTTAATTGTCTACRGTCTACTATGATTTTTTAGTCCCTCAGGGACTTTTTTTCCCCTCTAATTTTTGCTCCTAACCTTGCAGTATCATTATTCATTGCCAAATAATTGCACTGGGTAATGCAAAAAGAGTCAATCGAGTGGTCAAGGTTTCAAAATCAACTACTGATTTCAGACAGTTATAAGAAAAAGCTTCATGCTCAGCACTTTGGCTCAACTCTTGAGAGTTTCAGCAACTAAAAAATATCTGCTACATGTAAAACCACAGATCAATATTGAAAAAATGTAACCAATTAAAAAAGAGAAGAGATTCGGTATGAAGATGTAAAAATTTGGGAAAGCATCTGTTTTTCCAAAATTTTATGAATTTCTCTTTATTGCTGTACTATTCCATACTTCTTGCCATTCATAGGGCCTGTACAAACTACCCAAAAACCTTCCCAAGATCAAGAAATTCATAGTAAATTAAGGTAAAAGGTAACATAGAATCATAGTATCATAGAATTATTACGGTTGGAAAAGACCTTCAAGATCATCAAGTCCACATAGTGACATGAAGATATCCACTGTACTTTATATCCACACCCAAGTTCCCATATAGTGACAACAATAACATTTGCTGGCACTAAGATACCACCTTTCCAATGCCTGGGACAATGACTGAAACAGTAATGTACAAATGCACTGCTTGTTCATCACGAGAAAAATCACACTTTGTTCCAGAAAACACAAGAGWAGGCAAAAGGAAACTTACTGGAAGTGCGCTGAAATACTAAAACAAAGCAAAAGAGAGACATCAAAATCAAATCCCGCTAGCATGAAAAACAAAATAAAACAAACAAAAAAAAAAGCAGAAAAAAAAAAGCCCACAGAATATACTGTCCAAGAGACAAACAATAACAACAACACGGCACAGCACATCAAGGACTTTATTCAAAAATGGAGAAAAAAGGTTAAGATAGAGAGCAAAGGTCACTATTAAAATATTTTAATATTCACAGTTATTGAAAGGTCATTTGCATCTTACCTTTTCTGCAGACTTTAAAGATTTTTGAGATGCCTCATAATCTTTCTTTGTTTCTAGGATTCTTTTTACAAGTCCACCTGATTAAAAAAAAAAAAACCAAAACACTTTCAACATTGGCTGGCAATATTTTAGAGCAGTATTTTAGCTGCTCTGAACATTCTGACAGTAAAATCAAAACCCAACCATTTAAGTTTCTTTCAGCTTTTAGAGCAACATTTATTGCATGCTATTATGTAATATCTATACTATTGAGATACAAGGTGTTTGCTATATGATCTATTTTCTCCCATCTCCTATAAACCACATTATTCAAAACAGTACAGTTTACTGAATGGCTTTAGTATCAAGATACACTTAGGAGCTATAGAAACCCAATGACTTTTCCTCTGTACTCCTCTTTTGGAAGAATTCCTCTGCTTGAAATTTTTGGCTGCAGGGATTTCCGAGAAATATGTCTGTCCAAATCACATCCAGTGTGACCATAACAAATTGAAGCTTTTGAATCAGAGATTGGAGGTCACAAGCAAGAATAAACATTGTTAAGGAGAGGTCCATTAGTTTTTCTGGAAGCTCTTCTGGAAGCTCTCAGCTTGCCTTGATCGGCCAATTCCATCTCATATCTCAGAGCTGACAAGCTGTACCTCGCATAGTAAGAAAAAATAATTGTGTGGTTTTATGTAGCATTTTTAATCCTGCTGACATTAGAAAACGTGTACTCAACATCAGTTGTTAATCCTGCTGCTCTAACAAGCAGGACTACTTTGCTGAACAATTTCTAGTGTTTTTGTTGCAGAAGTCCTGCACTAAGGTTGTACTTTCCTACCTCATTCTGCATTTTTTCAATGCTCAACATTTGGTTTATACTTTTGGGAGGTTTTTTTAATTAAAATACAAAACAAAGAACACCAAAAAAGCAAACATACCATGCTTCTCATCCTCAACCAGCTGCACTTCTGGCTCCTACATACACATGAAGAGAGCTTTAGTTGCAAAAGGTTGGCATTGGTTTAACATAGAAGTTCTCAAAAAAATTTCAATTAGAAACTAGCTAATTGAATAAGTAACTGACAACAAACTGTGGGGGAAAAAAAAAGGTGCTAGAACTTGCAAAATTAACAGACCGTTTCCATCTCTGGTATTTCTGGCAGTGGCAGCGCTGCCTCCACCACAAACTGGTCATCATCGTCATCAGAATTTTGATGGTCTGTGATCAAATTTGAGACTGTTTTACCACTACTATTCCTGAAAGACAAACAGTGAACAGGAAATCGTATTTAGGATCTGTCCACCTCCCCAAAACAGAAAAGACAGCAGTTCCCTCTCCCCCTTCCCAAAAAAGTATCGCCCAAGAGCACACCCAATTCGGTCATTTCCCGGCACAGCCCAGCTCTGAAAACAGCAATTCTTCTCTCACCACTGGAACTTATCAGAGATCTCCCTTAAACCATTTTGGCAGGATTTTTAAATGGCCATTTAAGACTTTTTTGAGCAAAAAAAAAAAAAAAAAAAAATCTCTTCTGGCTTTTCTTTTTGAGGGTTCACAAGGCAGCAAAGCTGAACTTTTATTTCTGATTTGCAGAAGCTATGACCAACTGTAAATCTCAGATAATCTAAGTTTTAGACAATGCACTTGCAGAAACAATAAAACCAGTAAAGGAGGACTGAATTTTCCAGTCTGAGTCAATGAGCAGTTCTGTGATCTAGCCTAGCACTGTTCAGCAGCAGGCACCTCAGAGAAGACTGGAAAATGGCGTAAGAGCCAGAATTACCTGCTCTGCATCTCTCACACCTGCCCTTACCTTTCTGGAATTAAGGCCTCTGTGCTTTCTTGACGTTTTATTCGTGGTGGTGCTGGTCTTGCACTGCCAGGCCGTGAAATTCGTCTGCAATAAATGAAGAGACCCTTTCACAGACACTGTCCCCCAGTGGAACAGATACACACCTACGGCCTGAGCAACTAGGCCAGGGAACAAAAACAATACCAAAAGCATCCCTGTGTATAATCTAACAGCAATGCTTGCTTTCATAGTAAAAGAAAATCTAGAAAATGTCTCACTAAAAAAATGTAACCTGGGTTCAGTACAATTATTCAGCATTAACAACAAGTTTAGCATTAACAATACCGACTGCCATATGGAAAAAAGAAATTGTGATGTTCATGATTCAATTACACAAGCCTTTGCTGGGCAAAGAAAAAGCACATCTGGATTTGAAAGGCAAATTCATTTTAACCATAACAGCACATTTCAGAAATGCATGGCAATAATGAAGAACATTGGCCCATATATGTGAACTGAAATATTTTTTCATATTCTATGTGTACTATTTATTTTAATAATATTGCATAATGCTCTTTGTGGATCACAAAAATAAGTGAGAAACATTTAGCAATTTTAAAGTTTTCTTTATAAAAGGAAATGAAAGTGAATAAAACGAACCATACATGGTATAATATTTACTTTTTGGTATCATAAGCAGAAACATACTGCTCCAGCTTTGCCATTTGCAAATGGGCTGCTTTCTTCCTCCAGATTTGTCACTGATTTGATTCAGACGGAACAAAGAGCAGGAACAAACCTTTGGACAACTGGAGGCGGAAGATCATTAGGTGCTTTGTCATTTTCAGATGCTGCAGGCTTTTCAGGAGCAGTGTTCTCTGCTTCTCCTTCTGCTGAAGGAAAGAAACATGCAATTTGGCTACAAAATCTGCATACAGACTAGTACAGAAGAGTGGAAAATACACAGATATATTTCAAGGACGGCTGGCGCCGGAAGGGATCATCTAGTCCAACTCCTCTGCTTAAGCAGGGTCACCTGAAGCAGGTTGCCCAGGACCCTGTTCAAACAGCTTCTGAATACCTCCGAGGATGGAGACTCCACAGTCTCCATAGGCAGCCTGTTCCAGTGCAGACTTTTGTTCCCTGATTAAACTTGGTTTTCTATAAAGACCCTGCTTGGTATCTACACGTGCAATCACAAAAGCCAAGACTGGTGACCCTGAAGATTCAGTTTAAATGAAACTGAACAAAGAACTCTTCCCAGGAAAACATACCTGCAAGAATCACTATTTTTGCTTTCAAAGAAACTGCTACCACTAAGTAAGAACAGACTGCTAAAAGAATTTTTTGAAGATGAAAGAACCATATTCAAGGTCTCAGCTGACTTCTTGCTCTCACAATGTCTCAGTATGCATTACACTTTCACATGACAGCAGCTCACAAGAGGGAAAAGCAGCAATTGCAAAGAGTTCTTCAAGTATTAAATCACTTTGCATTAAAAATTACTCTAAAATCCAACTTCCTTGGCTCACCTTAGCTCAGAGCACCAACGGAGACAAAGGCAGCAGTGAARCCACAGCACAAGGCTGTGACAACTTGCACAGAGCAAAGTGAGAGCAGCATCCCGGACCTAAGATACTTCAGATTTCCAGATTTACTGCCTGCAACTGGTCTAATTACCCAGCTCATGCTATTTGGGGAAACGATTTGTGGATCAGTTTTTATATGAACAGAAGCCACTAATGCAACAAGTAATAGCAGGAGAGAAATAGTATCTTGTACTGACATTAAGAAAATGGAAAAAGGAAGTTTTATTAAACTAGCTATTGCAGTAACTACCTGTAATATTTTGCAGGAAGCTCCCCATGGGATCTGCTCATTTTCAAGTTAAAACCCATAAAACACTCGTAAACTACTTTTTTTTTTTTTTTTTTGGAAAAGCACTTAACCCAAAGTACAAAGTATTTTCATAGATGGCTTTTTGGTATTCATTTAACCAAAAACTGCTTGAATAAAGTCCAACCAACAAATTACATTTTGTTACAGTTTAAAAAAAAAGCACTAAACTACAAAAGTAGCTTATTTACTAAAAAAYACTATCTTTTCTAATAGAAGTTTTCAACTATCACCGGTATGTGCTGAGCAGGTCTTTGTCAATATAAACTACCTGAATCACTTGCAGAGTCACCTGGAAATAATAAATACACTGATTTTTCAGAAAAGCAGTTATATAAACTCTTACTAAAAGAAAAGACTAAATTAGACATGAAKCCCAACAAGAATTATGGCTAACTTGTTACTTGGGGGCTACTACTGGGAGTGGGAAAACAAAGACAAAAACACTAGGAAARCAAAAACACTAGGGAACCTTGCCAACAAACTTACACTTCAGTGCTCAAGACATAAAAATTCTAGTAACTAAGCAGAATACACTAATCACAAGTAAAGCATTTTAAAAGGGCAAAAAGACAGATGATCTATCAAGATGATTCTATCTTGATGACAGAATATCTGAGTAGAAATTCCTGAAGGGACTTAATGAGATGTGTAAGAAAGGTAAAACAGATGTTAAGAGAGGCAAAGCCATGCTGTTCTACTTTGAACTACTAAACACAGGGATTGCTCTCTGCTCAAAGAGATATTACACAGTCCACATGCAAATAAATGAGAAGTACAGAGGAAATTCAGCAGTTGATCACAGAATGGAATTTTCTTTTTCATCATCCTCCCTTTTTTTTTTTTTTTTTTTTGAGTAGTCACAAGTACCCCCTCCTCCCTTGATAGCACTGTAAAAGAGCTCACTTCAGTTCTTCTCTTACACAGATTACTCCAAAAGCACAAATTTGGTGGCAAGACACTAACTGTGATTTTGCAAGAGGGTTCCAAGGCAATTTCAACAACCAATTTTCATTCAATTCCCCTCTCGTTAGTCTGAATACAAATCTAATGCCAGACAGACTTTAAGCATGAGCCTAACTGATAAAGTCTACCTAAGGCAAACAACCGGGTACCTAAGTACCTGCAAAATATGTGCCATTCTGTGATATTTCAAAGGGAATGGGCAAACTAAGCAGAATCTCAGTAGTTTCTTAAAACAGTTCTTTTTACAGTTGTAAGATGAAAACACGAAGTGGAACTCGCAAATATTTGTACAAAAAGGCAGCCTGCAACGCTGCAGTTCAGACACAGAACTGTCATCAAGTCATCAAGAGATTCGGCTGCAACAGGCTTGCGTTTTCCCTAGGGCAGCATAACCACTCGCCTCATTTTGATCCAGGTAAGGAGAAAAGAAGGTAAGAGCAACCATTTTAAACCAGGGAACAAACATTTTCAAAATAGGACATTAACAGATGAAATGCAGGGAAAACAGTGGATTAAGTGTAAATTACCCTCCTTAAATCATTCAGCTACACGGATTCAAGTGCATGATACTCCAGTTTCTTCTTCTTACCTTTCTGTTTTACGGCAACCGCTGGTTCCGCTTTCTCTTGTGGTTTAGCAGCATTGTCCTCCGAAACCTTATCTGCCAAGACGTGAGTTTCCACTGTTCCTATAACAAAACAGTTTATAATCAGTGAAAAAAAAAATACAGTAAAAAATTTGAATAGAAAACAAGCTGAACACACTACTCTTACTACTTGAGGAATATTCTGATTTCTTAAACAATCTTGACTGCAAATAAGTAACTTTCCAAGTCTGCAAAGACTTTTTACTTTACCACTAGGTCCTTAGTTTACTGAAGCAGTAAAGCCAATTTCTTCACTTCAGAAGCACTTTATAGATATTGCTGACTAGCCTGACAGTGAAACAATACAATATTTAGCTAATAAAGTTTAAGTAACTTTGTAACACTCTTCGTATACTATTTAGAAGGCATAACGTATCAATTTGTTTCAAAAGCTTTCCCTTTTCTTGCATTTCATATTAATGCTATTAATATGAAGCAAGTAAAGCTTGCTACTAGTACCTGAACTCCACATTTGCTGTTCACTTTTCATGTTAACAGATTTTTGGGGTGTTTTTTAAGCAAAAATAAAAGACTAACCGTTTCAGATTCTTTCATGTTCTAATTATCTTTAACTGCCCAAGATGCAATAGGACAATGGTGACAGAAGCAAGGTAACATAAGCTAGAAAAAGAAAACTTACATATTCAAGTATATAGAAAGTTTCTAAAGATACATTATCTGGAGAAGAAAAGAACTAAGATGATGCAGACATCATTCCTGAAAACACATCTTTGCACTGAATACATCCATGGAGAAACTCCAGACTATTCACTCAGTTTGTTAGTATATATAAAGAATGGGTACAATATTTATTTTTGGTCTTGTCATTAGAGAAATCAAAAGTATATCCTCCCTTGGAGTACTATGTTCAGTCCTCACATTCCTCAAAATACAGCAGAAGCAGAATAAATGTAGAAATAGCCAAGAAGAAAAAAAAATGATTCTAGATACAGAAAGAGCACTTCTCTTCAAAACAGAGACACCCAGATGCATCACTCAAGAACTGAACCTAGCTTATCCACTGACATCTAAAAGGGCCCCTTATCCATTGCCAGGATATTTGAGGCGATGTTGTCATCATCAGAACAAACACACACAAATCAGGAAACAGTTTTGAGCATCCACAAGATTTACTAGACAAAAAATACACAAAAAGCTGCCTAATGCATGGGGTAAAACATGCAGTGCTTCTGAGAGCAGAGATGAAGCTATGGTATGCAGTACAGAACTGAGGCTTGGGAATGTTCAGCTCAGTAGTCCTGATCTATTTATCCACCATTGCCACCACACAAACATCCACAAAACTACATGATCCACCGCAGCAGAGAAGCTGAGTTTTGCTAGCTTAGAAGAGTAAAGCACATAGCAGAAGTTAATCAACGTTTTTATTTACCTTTGYTGACAAAGCACCAAAGGAGGAGACAATTACTAAAACCAAAACCAGCATTTAGAGATTCATCACCAACCTACACAACTGTGCCTCAAATTACCTACAGAATCTCATCATGGAAAGCAAAGCACCTCACTGCCTCAGAAAAGGTTTTCATTTAGAAACTGATGAAATAATACAATATATTAAAATATTACTGAGGCAGGCCTCCATTGGTCAAAATAGTGCTGCCACACTGCACAACAGTTACTGGCAGTAATGGACTGGCTACCAGGGGCAGGATATTGGCTAACAAGATAACCAACAAGATTTCATGCAGCAATCCATACATTATCTTCTGGCAACATTCGTACCCAAGCACCAAAGCTGGACTCAAACCTGACATGCTAAGCACTGCTCTCCTTACCTGGCTCCTGTACTGCAGAGCTTGACTCAGATGTCTCTCTTTGCAGACTAACTGTTTGCTCAAGTGCACTACACTCACTTGCCGCTGTAGCCGTGTTTCCTAATATAAAATAAGTTATAAGTGAGGTATGCACTATAGACAGTGGAGGCATACAATAAAACATCTCAGAATGAGCCACGGCTCTCCAGCATGCTTATAGGTTGCTCACTCTTTAATGACACATTAGATTTTTAGGCATKATTTCAAAGTAAAGGCTCAGTTTGCCTCCCTACAGGGTAAACAAGATGAGATCATTAAGAAATCTGCATATGGGTTGTGGAGTGCAAACCAAGGGTATTAGCTCCAYTTTTCAAATGTGAAGGAATTTTGCTGTTTTTCACCTCACCCYACTCTGTGACGTTACCTCCTTATAACTTTATAAAACTGGCTTTTGACATTCCCAGACAGGCATGTGTGTTTGTGGGCRCTTYTCTTCCAACACATGGRCACCAAGTGGGCATTACCTCYGCATAAGAAAGACTGTTTTAAGAGGCATAATATTCAGTGTCTAAAGGAAAGCTGTTCAGACATCAATTAACTGTGTTAAAGTAARAACAATAATAAAACAMAAAACATTTAAWKTATAAATCAAGGTTTTGCTCTAGTAACACTGGAAATTTGTTCTTAACGCACARTGAWGAACAAATGCTGGTTTATATATTTAAATATATATATATATTTGCTTTGCTAATCATTCTACATCAGTTTTGTAGATACAAGAATTGACATTCAAAAGCTTAGCTATGACACTAACCTCTTTCAGTTCTGTTAGGCACTTCTTTATCTCAATTTAATATTAGAAAGCATAAAAAGCTCTGCTCACCGTTAGTAGTGCTTAGAGAGAACAAATGTGCAACAGACACCAGCACAGCTTCCAAATATTTTAGTCTGGGCTATGCAGTGGAGCACATATGAGCATTAATCATCTATCATAGCCCCTCTATGCTGGAACAAAAAGAGGGCCAGTGCTCTGAAGTATTTATCATTTAGGTAAATGGAAAAGTGTGCTGGCCTGCTGCTTTGTGAAAAGAGGAGTATTTCTAAACATTTACCTTAAAGGCAAAACATAGGATAAAGGCAAACCATATTTCACTGACCAGAACAACTGGATACTGATTTTAAAGAAAGGATGATCCYATAAAATGCAGCATGTCTGGTCACTTCAGTTTCACTTCAACCCATGAAACMAATATTCAATTCTTGCAAAAAAAATATAAGGAAAGCTAATGGCTTCTGTGTAGTGAAAAAGATTATATTTAATGGAATCCAGATTTTTTTCAGTTACAGAATTATTAGAATCTCACAGCACATATTCCAAGTGCTAGATTTTTTAAGAAGGTATTTAAGGTGTATAAACATCTTCTAAAGTTTACCACAAATGCTTYCTAAAATGAGGCTGTTGACTGTTATAAAAACGTTACCTGAGCTCTGATGCAACTTCAGTGTTTCACCTCACATGAAAATAAAWTGCACAGCCAAGAAACAGCAAAAAAGGATGGCAACTAAGCGTAGCAAGAACCTCAYAGTTAATTGGTGCAAGCGATATCAGTCTTTAGCCTGAATTAGTAGTTTCAACGGGCATTAATTCACAGGTGTTACTGTATCTTTGTAACTGAGATGTTAAAGTAATTTATGTACASAGACTTCTTCATTTTGGCTTAGAAGTTCTGTGCTCTCAAGTCACAAAACAACTGAGGGAAACCTTGAATCACAGTAAATAATCAGATGGTGGAATTAAAAGCAGAAGGAAAAGTGGTACTTACTCAAATACAGAAATTAGAGTTACTCTGCCATTATATGAGCTCTACTTAGAAGCTGTTTTTATTCCTTACCTATGTGGTCATCTAGGCTTGCTGTCTTGCCTTTCTTATACAAAGGGCTAGGCTTCTTTTCAGGCGAATGGCTAGCTGTACTAAGCTTAGATTCCTTGCTTGCTGATGTGAAAGTTGCAAGACAAATATTAGGGATATTCTGAGGAGAGCCTAGTTTCCAGTCAGTATGCAAATACGATATTTAATACACTTACAAATAAAGGTCACTTACTTAAATCAACTGCAACCTAAAAGATAAATTAACTTACGTATTTGCCAAGCATGGCACATGGGTTTAGTAGAATGAGCTACAACTATCTATAAGGCTATTACCTTAATTTCAATCTTGTCCAAAAAGATGAAGAGAAACTACTAATATAAAGCTACACAGTAGATGAGAAGGGATGTTACTGATGATTGTATCATAAATAAATAGCTTCTTCTGAGTCTTTGTTGACTGCAGCTATCATCCAAAGGCTCATAAATCACCCCATAAACACCACACTTACATTTATATCAATCCACTTATACCTAGCGGGCACATTATCACAACTGATGCTCTTGAGACACTTCACACAGAAGTGAGGACAAAATGATCATGGAGCTACCTCCAGCCTGGTGTGTGGTATGATTCATGCAGGCAGGTTTCACTCTAGAGACCTAGCACACATGGATCAGAAGGATGATTCTGTTGCTATCAGGAGCTGCTCTTGAACAGCACAAAGAAAATGGCCTTTCACAACTACTCATTTCCTTCTCATATGTCCTAGATGACAAACATCTGGCATTTATTCCCTGCTGATGGCCAGCAGGAACACCACAAAGTTGGTTCCTACCACCTGGTCAAGCTACTGTAGAAGATGATGCGAGGGAAGAATTCAGTACCGATAATACTCAGCTTATCCTTTCTATCTCAGCACAAATCACAAGGTGCTAAGAGGCACCAATCCAGGTAAAATTAGAGAGCAACAGGATAATTCAGGGGAAAAAGAATGTAGACCAACAAAAACATTATTCTGAGACAACACAATAYTGAAGTGTCAAAAGCAGAAAAAATTTGAAGCTGGAACTGATCATGCAGAAAGCAAGCACACTTAACCAAGCAACACCATCCATGTAGCRAATCCATGCAGAAAACCTGGCTACTGGACTCATAAATGCAGGCTATGCACATAGAATAAGCACAGAAAATAATAAGCAAATATATCTAAGAATTTATGCTATTCTTATTCTATAACCCTCCAGCAAATTTAATATAAAGAATATCCTCATTCCAGTTACCTTCTCCCCCAGGTTTGGTGCGCTGCCTTGATCCTTTGGTTAAAGGCTGCCTTGTTATTCCTGAAGGACTTTCACTCTTTAAAACAAAAAAACAAAAATACCCACCTGTATAATTTAAAATTATATATAAATGCATCCATTGCTTAGACATATGTGTATGTGTACACATGCGCATACATTCATTTACAAAACTGCTACAAACACATACGAATAAAAACATGTCAGGTCTACTTTCTCAGAAAAGTCAGCAAATTTTTAACCAGGATTAGCAAGTCACTCAAAAAACTAAGATGCCTAAAATTACCTTCACTTTGGGACAAAATTGTGTATTTTTAACAGATACATGCTTCCTCTTTGATCATCCTTCATTCCTAAATAGAAATAAAGAGGTCATGACTGAAAACCAGGGTCACCAGACTGGCCTGCTCTTCTACTCAAACGGCAACTTCCCTGGATAAAGTCCTTGGCCAAACTAAGAAAATGGGTGCGGCCAAAAAGATCATCAAATAAACAGCAGATCATCTGAAAGAGGACTTCAAGCCCTGATGAGAAGGATCAGCTATTTTTCCAGAAAAAGGCAATGCCTGAAAGGAGGGCTTTGTCTGCACCTTGTACAAAAAGAACATGAATGGCTTGAACGTGGAAAAGATTGAACTGGAGGAAAATTGAAGAAAGTTATGAGGACTCTGGACAAAATCCAAAAGTAACTCAAAGAAGCCAGGAAATGAAGGCAAGCAAGCATTATTTTGTTTTCTCTGGATATACCTTGCATTGCCTGAAGCGAAGAATAACTGCCTGGCAATACTCTCAGTAAAGGCTCTACATTAAATACTTCACTGGTCACATGTTCTTGGAAAGGAGCAGCTTAAACCAGCAGGTCCATTTGGCTGCAGGTTGGGAAAAAGATGGGTTTTAACAACAAAAAGGCAAGACAGGAGCTCACACCAGTGCCAGATGAGGTCATCTGGACTGCAAGGTCCGCTGTGTGTGAAGGGATACCTGAGCCTATGTTCACGTAGTGCTAGAGAAGCCTAAGACAGCTACAGCACGTCCATTATAAAAATGCTCAGCAAACAGGACTCAAAGTTTAYATCCTATGCTGTGCAAAATCTAGCTAAATGAACAGTGCATAGTACTGAACAATGTAACCAGTTTAGACATTAATTGCATTTGGATTATCACAATTTATATTTGAACTATATGAAAAGTTCTCAGGATTTSCATTGCACTCTCGTTATGAAAGACTGGCATTTCTAAGGATAAAAAAGATAAAAGTCCAAAAAGGATAAGTAACACTGAAGTGCTTCATTTTAATTACTACCATCTTTCACAATCATAACACTACACAAGGAACAAAAGTAAAGTCCACGAAGTATCAGAGTCTTGCTCTGAAAGCCTGCAGGCCACATCTGGTATAGTCAATCATTTGCTGCTCTTTGGGCATTTTAACTATTAACACAGGTGCAGAAGGAGCTGAGAATAAGTACTGAGGTTTCTGGAGGAGTTGATTTAGTCATTTATGTTAGGTAGTGACTGTAAACACAGTTCAACATTTTTGTAGAGCCACATGTGAATCCTGGCAAAAGAAACAAAGTAAAAGCTAAAATGTAATCAGTAAGGTAGTATACAAAAAAATAAACCCCATAATACCTAGGAATTGAGTCTTTTTGAAAGGAGATAAAATAGTAATTTTTCTTGTACAGAATCAGTGGCTCCAGCTCTTTGAAGAACAATCACAGAGACAGTAAAAAAAAAAAAAAAAGGAAAAATATTTGTAGTGCACTTCATCTCACACGACTGAAACACATCCTGAAAACACAGTGTGAGGTGTGTGAAAACACACACATCCTGAAAATAAAAACAAAACAAAAAAAAAATATTCAAGTGGAATCCTAGATGTACAAACACATACTTCCTAGTTTTGTGCAGTTGTATTTCTGTTTGGAAAGGCTACAGCAGTCTATTGTCTATATCATCGAGTCTGCTGCTTTGTTCTCATTACTGATTTCTATGTTGAGAAACGAAAATAGCTATTTCTAATAACTGAGCAGATCAAAGAGAGCAAYCTACTGTGAAAAGACATTCTGCCAAAGGGTTAATTCCCCTCCCTTTCTACACAGGCTGAACAGCTTCTACTCGTGACATCTATGCACTGGTCCTCAGGCTTCCACAGACAGAGCTCAGGGAAGATTTTGCTGATGTCTGGCAGAGGATGCACACAGTAACCCTCTGTTTTTGTATACAACATATTGGGCAATAAGTGATCCCGCAAGAAATAAACAGCTCATTTCTAATGTCTTTACTGAAAGCTTATTTCCAATGCCTTTACTTTTTATTCTTTCTGTGAAACTGTCAGTATTTCCAATATTTATTCTTGAAAYGGTCATTACTGTGATTAAGATGCATAATTTATTAGTGTGCAAAAGTAACAAGAGCTGTAATTGCTAAGGTCATGACGACTGCTGTTATTATCAAGTTTATTAGAAAAACACTGATTAGCTATCTTTTCCTGAAACAAAGGCCGGTGGGATCATGTTCTACTGGTGCTAACTTCTACTAATTAAAACCTTTCAAAATAAGAGAATTCTTAGAAAAATCCTRATTTTTAACGTTTGTTTTCTTTGCATGAACCACTTATGAATAGTTGACAACCTGAGAGAGAGAGATACTTATGAGACATGTTCAGGAGGTTTCCATGGAATGATTATTTCTGCAGCTTGCAAGGTAATGTCTTTTTTGGATTCAGCAGGAGTTTCATTATATATTCTAGACCAGTTCCAAAAGAAATAGGAGAGCATTAGATGTGACTTAGAGGATGACATAAATGACCAGCTCCAAAGCAACATAGTTTGTGCCGCAAAAATAAAAGCCGCTGAAGATGGGGCCAAAAGTGACAGGATATTACAAAAAACTTTAGCCAAGAGTTTCTGAAGCCATCTGTAAAATGGAAGAGACTTTTTCAAGGTGTTTTGCCTTAGGGGTAGCTGACATACCTATTCTGCAGCCACTTTCATTTAAACACCATATGCTCCAAAGGTCTGTCTGCAACCCAAATGCTTTTYTTTTTTGTCAAACTGAAGTTATCTTTATTATTTAGAAGGTGAATCAGTCACGCCATGAGGTGTTTCTTTTTACAAGACAGTTACTTGAGCTGGACTGAGAGCTAACAAGACACAGTTCTACCTCCTTCAATTCAAGTGTTATCTGCAGCAACTAGCACTTGAATCAAAAGCTACTCTTCACAAACACGTCTTAGCCTGCTTGCAGTGTTTTTGGTCATCTAGTAATCAAATGTTTCTTTTAGATTCCTATTTAAATTTGCTTTATTTCAGAAAATTATGAATATTTGTGAAGACTGTTATCAGCTAGCTAACAGGTTCCCTAATACTAGAAGAATATATTATTTTAAAAAAKCAGAGAAGAGAGGGTCAACCTATAGAAACTTGAATGTCATTTTAAGGTCTTGACAGTTAGTATCAAGTAGCACTACCAGACATTCAAAATATTCAAAGTTTCTAAACACATTTGTTCTCCGGAACAGATGCAGCATACAAGCTGTTCAGCCTGAAATTATATGGACATTGCAAATGAAAGAACACTTTCCATTTCCCCCAATGTTACTATGCTTTTGTGCTGCTAAAAGGAACAGCACCTCTGAAGAAAGGATCCCACTCAAACATGGAAGAAGAAAGATCCAAAGCCAAAGAGCTCATTGTGAAATCAAGCTATGTCAGACTTGGAAAGAGAGAGAGAACCTGTGATTAGGAGTGTGGGGGCAAAGAGAGCAGGACTCCAAATCTGGGATGGTAACTGAGCAGAACAGAAACAAGTCAGAAGAGAAGACAGGGCCAATCTTTAGGGGAAAGGAAAGCAGGCGACGTACACACTGTCTTACGAGTCACTGACTCGTGCCTGCTTTCTGTAGCTTTTTGTGCCTACTGTGCACAAAAAGCTACAGAGAGATGCTGCAGGTTTATTAACTATGCAGCACAGACTGCAAAATAATACAGTTCTATACTCCGCATTTRCACAAACACAGAAATGACTTCCCTTCTGTTTAATGTTTAATGTTCACTGTGGTCTGAGTTAAAAGGAGTTTGGGTAGTTTAAAAAAAAGGAGAAATCCCTGGAAGTGAAGGCATGACCCTGCTGYGAAACAGCAGGAAGATGACAGGAAGATCAGCCCCAGTTCATTAAGATGCACTTTCCAATTATTTCACGTTGGATTTTCCTCTAAAACACTTTGTGCAGTTATCTTGATCCCCCAGCTCTAAATATTCATTGGGAACATTTTAAATTCATTCTTCCTTTCCACAGTCTTGAGGAGGTGACCATTTATCACAGGTTTGGACTAAAGTGTGTGTTTTCATCACCTAAAGGCTAAGCAGCATCTACTGTAATGCAAGCAAGTAAAGGCAAAGCACATCATGTAGATTTAAAGTAGTAAACGAACATGCCTTGGATTCAATCCCAAACGCACTTAAGATGGAAAATGGATCTCTACTGCACCAGCACATTATGGTGGTGCTCAAGAGCACTACGATCGCTTGGGACAGGGCTCAGAATTTCCACTAGAGACCCGATCTGCAGGAAGTTTGACTTGACTATGAACATTTGCTTCAGGCTTAAAGCTATTTCATAAGCTCTCACTCCAAGTGCCAATCCTTTAAAAAGGTTGGTTGGATTTCAGTCAAAGAACGGCTATAAAAATTTGTCATCTACTGTAGAAGACATGATGATGTCAGTAGCCCACTGATTCCCTACAGAGACTCCTGCTAGACTTGGGATGCTGCCTATATGTTCCTAGCTTGAGCTGCTTTAGATTCATTTACTGAAGTATCCCTCTTTAAACATTTAGCCATATGGCTTTGTAATTCCCCAAACTGCCTCAGGCTATCAAGAAGCAGCAGATGCAGACAGTATCACAAGCAACTGCTACTGTTCAGAGACAGCCAGTGAGCCTATATCCTGTCCTACTGTCATGCAGCTCCAAAACACACGCCCTGGGCACATCATTCAACTCATTTTCTTTCAAAAATGGTAACTTCTGTTAAAATAAATAAAAATCAAACAGATTTCAAGGAAAGATTCACAGGAAGAAAACAGATGGTTCTGAACAAATARTTTCTTGGCATACCCAAAATGTGGGTACACAGAATCAAATATCTGGAAAATGAAATTAACTAAGTAGACTTTGTTTGTCCAAGCTAAGAGAAATTCAAAAACAAATACACAGTAGAAGTAAAACAGCAATATCTACAGTGTAATAAATCTATTACTCTCAACAACAAAACTGGCAGAGCCAAACTGAGAACTCTGAAGTTTGCACCTACTTATTTTTCAATCCTACCTACTTATGTACAGATTCCCAAACTATTCTGAAGTGCAACACTTGCAGTATTTCACCTTCCCAGATTTTCTATACTACTAACCTCATTATCTGGTTGGTACTTGCTGTCTTTAGACGGCCTTTCCGTTTTTTTAAGGGCAGGTTCTTCCGAGTCTGTGGACTAAAAGAAATAAMTGCTTTACCCTCAAGTGCTCAAACATGAAGCCAGGTATATGCTGAGGAGCAAGCCACGTACTCTGACTGTGGCTGGAACCACCACGTGTTACTGGGGAGACACAGGAGGACACGGACATGACTCCAGCAGCCTCTGAGACTTGCCACTGCCCAGCATAAGCTAACGCCATCAGGGGAATCCAGACAAACACAGTGCAGAAAAGCAGCTACTTATTACATGATCAGAAAGCAAAGCCAGGGGAGCCAAACAGCTCCAATGAAGATAAAATATGACAGAAGGAAGCTACATATACAGCCTCAGTCATTGATCTTATCAGAACAAGCCTGTATTGAAACTTTCACTTAATAACAGCAATTGACGTTAAAAAAACTTCTGTTGTTACATGAACCAAGATACAAATACACAAGCTCACTAGAAAACAAATAAAACATCACAAAAAAAAAAAAAAAAATCAAATCCTTCAAACCCCATCAGAGCATGTCAAAAGCTGTACTTTTTTTTGCCAAGTAAGGTTTCTCTTACCTTTTTCTCTGCTTTATCCTTTCCATGTTCTCTTGAGTGTTCCCCATCTTTTCCTCTTTCCCGTCGCCTATCTCTTTCCCGGTCTTTTCCCCTTTCCTTGTCTCTTTCCCTAACCTTTTCTTTGTCTCTTTCTTTCACTCTGTCTTTTTCTCTTCCTCCTTCTTTTTTTTTCTCCCTTTCCTGTCTTTTACCATGTTCAAGATCTTTTTCTCGTTCTATGTCTCTCTTTTCTTTGTCATCTTCTGATTCTCTTCCTTCCTTAGTTGTTCTGCTTTTGTTTCTTTCCCTTTCTTGTTTTTCCTCTTCCTTAATGTTGCCTCTTTCAGAGTCTTTGTGCCTGTCTTCATTATCCTTACGTTTATCACTTTCCTTTTCTCTTTCTTTGCCCTCTTCTTTCAAATCTTCTTTAGGTTTCCTGTCTCTGCTCAAGCTTCTGTCTCTAATTTCAGAGTCCCCTTTTCCCTAAAAAATAAAGCAAATATTTAGCTCCAGTATATGGTAACCCTATCACAGGTTACTTTACAAATCAAAAATGGGGGGAAAAAAAAGAGGGAAAAGAAGGAAAGCTGCAAATCCCTACCTCTTTGTCCCTATGGCTTTTTTGTTCTTCTGCTCTGGATGCTCTGTTTTCCTTATCTCGAGATTTCGACAAGGGAGGCTTTCCTTTGGCATCAGCCCTTTCCCCAGCTAAGATCCTTTTTACAGCATCATCACTGGACAGCTGCAAGGAACAGAAAAATGTCACTGAAATGTGTATAAGTTATTTTATTAAATATTTTTCTTTTTACCTCTGCAATCACAAGATGTTTTTTAAATAATGCTTGTTTTTGTTCTTTTGAAAATGTCCTAGCATTTGTATTTTAAAATCTCTGTAGCTCTGTATAAGCAAAGATTCCTTATTACCTTTAATTCAACAATTATTTTAAGAACAAAATGCCTCTGAAGTTTTAAAGAACAGGTTATTAGACTCCCTGTTCCCTGCATTCTTGTATCCAAAGAGAGATACCTTACTGTAAAAAATATTTTCATTAGAGAGCTAAAGAACTGAGGAAGAGATGTTGCTACCTTTGATTCATTCATATGAGAATGCACAATTGTCTGCATTCAAATGTTCAAACTTCTGAAAAGTCATGTTCTGTCTAAAACGTAATAAATTGTATTATGTGACCAATGAATTAAATAAAAAAATAGAAAAACAGTATACATTGAAAGCAATCATCCATCCAAGACAGATTTGTGCTACAGATCAGGTCCGAAATATCTGTCAGGTGACCCGACATGACGTATTATTATATAACATAATATTAACAGAAATGGAGGTAGAATACCAATACAGTCTGTCCCAAACTGAGCTCTGGTAATATACAGAACAGCTCAATAAAGACAGTACTATACTGGGGACAAACTCTTAATAGCAACCTCATACCTTATTTAAGCAACACTTCCCAATTGCTTGAAGTAACTCATTGGTTTTTTCAGGTTCATGTCCAGCTACGACACGTGCTGGTTTTACTGAGAGTGGCTCTCCTGTTACGAGTACAACAGCATCAATTGCCTTCTGAAGAAAGCTGATTTTGGCATCTTTATCCTGGCAAAACAGTAATTAGGAATTAATACCGACACTTTAAAATAATTCCACCTATCAGCTGAAAGCTAGGAAACCTCCGCAGGGAGGAACGCTTGCAGAAAGCATCTCTAATAGCAGAGCTGTGGCTCTCCAGGAGGTTCTGTGCAAGTTGGAGGAGAAAAATTAGAGCTGCTTTATCAGCATCCTTGGGTTGACCTGGGTTGCTGCAAGCCAAGCCCAGTGCTGCCCAAAGMAGAAGGACGGGCCTCTTCTGAGGCCAAATTCTGTATCTGGGTTGAAGGACTGAGGCCAGAATAAAGAGCAAGTTCTCTTCTTGAAATCTCCGTACCTCTTTTCAACTCTCCAAGCCATTTGGGGGTTGTCAGGCAGGTTAAGACATGTTTTGAAAGGTCAGGAAAACTGGCTACCACCCCTGCTTTACAGTTAAGTTGCTTATTTTTGATTAAGAAATGACAGATTTGATAATGGATGTATACTGAATTAGAACAGCCAAGTTAAAAMCATAAATTCATCTTTTTAATCAGCTTGCTATTTCACTCCAGTATGTTAAGACTACTGTAAGATTTCTGGCATGGTGTTTCCAAAAGAGACATACTAAAAGAAACATTTGAACATTGTGAAATGCTTTGTTTAAATAAATAAATAAATAAATCTTGCAAATATTTCCCATAGAATCCTGCAAGTTGCAGCAGGATTATTACTGCACAGATCCTGCATAGGATACTCATCAATACAGATGTCTTAAAATTACAGGATTTATATGATGCTAAATTGTGGGAGTTAGTGCTTATATTTATACTTTGCAAACCAGATGACAGCAAGGAAGAGATATGAAGGACTGTAAGAAATGAAGAGAGGCAGATATTAACACATGTTTTAGTTTTAAATTTAGACTTTGCCAACAATATTTCAGTTACTTTAGGAAAAAGAGCAGCCAGGATGATCCAATAAAACACCCAACTTTMCGCTGCACTTACTCTCTGGGTATCGCAGGTACAGAACCAGAGGGAGCTGCATCTCTTTTAACAGAGGTACCGATACAAAGGGAAGGGAAAGAAGCAAATATGATGTCAGCTGTGCAAGGCTAATACYCTTTAGAGGGCATCTGGAAGCATTACCTGGCACTGGAGAGCAAGAGAACAGCCCATGTGATATCTCAGGCGCCAAAGCTAACCCATAAATAGAAGCTGGGTTCCACTGCATGTGCATGATAATTAAACACGTGGGAGGAGAGTCTGCAGGGCCAGGGTGCTTCCCATCTTTGACTCTTTCAAACAGATTAAAACCAAACAACCACATTTTTAGGATTTTGAGTTTGTCTCCATTAATATCAAGAGTGTTCATCAGTGTCTCCTTGCATTCAGCAAGGAAGGAAATACTCCAGCCTCCTACAGAAACATTTCTTTTACACGGGCCAGTTTGTTTGCATCCGTACACTTAGCAACACCATGGACACAATCTGCAGGTATTCTCCTGATGCACGGCACAAAACAACCACCCAGCAACACCTTCTCCTGTACGTTCACAGCATTAAAGACCGTCCCTTGAAAGCAAACAGGGAAGTGACGAACGGAATGCATCACAGGGCAAGTATCAATGCAGATCATTCTTGAAATASGGAGGCCAAACAAAACAAAAAACAAACAAAAAAGGGGATTAATACGCTTTTACGCACCTTAACATTCTCTGATTTCAATTCAAAATCCGTATAAAGTCCTTTCATGAAACCCGTCACTCTAATTACCTTGGAAAGAGAGGGAGAGCACTGGGTTAAGAGCACGCGAATAAAACCAGACCCAACAGCTTTTCCGGACGCAACATGAGAGGCCTTTGGGAGCCCCTGACCGCGGCAACAGGTCGCCGCTGCACCCCCAGGCCGCGTCGCTTAGCAACGGCGGGCGCCGCGGCGCGGGCCCCACCTCGGTGATCACGTCGTGCAGGTATCGGAAGGGCGGCTTGCTGAGCAGGCGCTCCGTGAGCGGCGGCTTGCGGATCACGCGGCCCAGCGCCTCCTGCGTGCGCCGCACCACGGCCTCGTTCATCGCGGCGGCGGCAGCGGCGGCGCCCGCCGCGCACCGCCTTCCCGGCCTGCCCCGCCGCGCCGCGCCGCACTGCGCACGCGCACCGCCACACGCGCCGTTGCCAGGCGCCGCACTGCGCACGCGCACCGCCACAGGAGCCGTTGCTAGGCGCCGCGCCGCACCGCGCACGCGCAGCGCCCCACGTGTCTTTGCTAGACGCCGCACTGCGCACGCGCAGCGCCCCGCGCACCGTTGCTAGGCGCCCCGCCACACTGCGCAAGCGCAGCGCCCCCTGCGCCGTTGCTAGGCACCCGTGGTGCGGCCCTAGCAATCGCCTCCCTCCAACACGTAGCCATGGTGGGCCTGGCCCTCCGCCATGCTGGCCCGGGCCAAGGTGCCCAGTCTGCTTTATGGGAGACCTGTTTCCCTTTTAACATGGGCTAGTTCAGAGTTGCCTGATGAAAATCTATGGATTTTCATGTTCATCATGTTTCATGATGAAAATCTATGGTGCAGCTGTGAGCAACGAGGATCGATGAACACACACAGTCCTGCTCCTCAGGAGCCAGATGGTTTCAAAGCATAAGCAACCTGAAAAAAAATGGGGAAAAGCTTTGGTGCCTGGGTCAGGCAAAATGCAGCKCTGTACTGGGGGCCTGCTTATAAAATAAAAGTGCAGTGAAGCAAGTGTAAGGTGTGGCAGCTTAGTGCATGAATAAAATTTAAGATATCAGGGTGCCGACCAGTGTGCACAAAGTAGAAGAAAGTGGGAACRAGGCTGGAAAGAAGAAACCATCTGAATTTTCTGATCTCATATCCCACTTCCCCCAAAGTCAGAACAATCCAAGTGAAGGGGAAGAGCAGCAGAAGACCACGAGCAACATCACCGTCTCCTATGGGGACACTCCACCAGGCAGCAGTGACAAGCAGACAGCTTGTGGGCTGGCAGAGTCACCCCCAGGGCTGCCGGGGCTCCTGAGAGCAGGTATTGCAGGAGGAGAAAGGCCTTCTCAGTGCRACACATTGCAATACCTTCCCGGTCTGACACACTTGTAATCCATGAGGTTCCCAGACTTTTCCTACAGGATCTGGGGAGCCTGGGAAGAGCAGGAGGTGTTGACAGCTTCCACATCCAAGGGCTTCAGAARGGGTCTCAGAGGAAGCAAGAAGACTGGGAAGAAGCTGCTCTGGGGAAGATGGTTTGTTTATTTTGGAATCTGGAATTCTGCCACCAGTTCTCTGTGGARTGTCTGTCAAGCCCGAGAAGAAACCTCTGGGGCTTTGCTAAATTTGACCTTTACCATGCTAGTTTCACTAAAGAGTTAGTACCCTGTGGAAGTACGGCCCAATTTAGCTGAAGAACTACAAGCTGGCAACTCACAAAACCTCCATGAGTCCCTGTAGACCTAAAGGGAGGCATGAGAACCAGAAGACTTATCCTAAAAACATGAAACATTGCTAGTACAGGTTGGGCGAGTTGACACCTTGTTACATGGGGTGAAAATATGGAGAGTATATCTAAGACATAAGCAAACATGCCACAAAAGCAGCTACAGTTAGGAAACTCTGTAAACAAGAGAACTGCTTGCACATCTTGAATACTGCAAAGAAAGTCTCACACAATCCTCCAAAAATGCTGTCAGGAAGTGCTGTTGACCACATAGCATCAGCGGGAGATGAAGCAGCCTACAGACTGGCTCATGTCAAGATTGACAGATCTCTCACCTATAGTAAAACTCATCCTAGCATCAAGAAGGTCACAGAGAAACTTGCTGTTTCAAATAGACCAACACTGCTGCAAGCAGGAAAAAACACAATGCACACTGCCTTTTCCTGCACGTTTTATCTCCTCCCATAGAGGGGCTACCCAACCTTTACAGACTTTTAATTTGACTTGATACCACCAAATTCCTTTGCCGAAGGAAAGCAGGCTGGAAAGCAGTAAGATAGCACTACGTTATATATTGCTGGCCAAATAATCAAGATCTAATGGTCGAGCAACTGCAATGGAAAGCTACCTAGCTCTATTTTTCTTTATGCATCACAAACAGTAGGATRCTACCTCCACCCTTAAATGACTTCATTATCTCAGTAGCATACACCTAGAGATACATATTTATATATAYGTATACACATATACACACACCACAGACACATATATCTGCAGTTCCCAACTCACATCAACCAAACTACCAAATGCTCCTGAAAACCACAGATGCAGCCTGACAAGAGAAAGTACCAACATCCCATCTCAAAGACATTATTCCTGCACAGACTAAATCAGAGGTATCAGAGCATTAGTAACATGGAGGCACACAGAGCCTGCGAAATCGGTGAACAACTGCAGCATTTGAGGATTGTAAACAGCTGAGCAAAAGTCCAAATTAGTGTGTAGTCTGTTGACAAAAAAAAAAAAAAAAAAAAAAAAAAAAAGAGGCATTTTCTTGCAGCATAAAAATCCTCCTTCTGCATAGCTCTGGCTTTGCACTTTTCCTGGGATACCACTTTTTTACTGCAACCTTGCAAAAAGCTGGAAGATACACACCAGATTGATAGGCAGCAATAACCTCTTACGAGATTGGAAGGTGCTGTTTCAGTTTCCTAGCAATTAAACTTTGCTTTAGCTTTTGAGTTTAAACAGATATAGACCCTTTGGTTATTTACCAAAGTTACTGAGTTTACTGAGCCAAAGTTGCTATAGGAAGCAAAGCATCCAGTTGGTTCCCAGCCCCATAGAATAATTTCTGAAGCCAAAATGAAATGTGAGGTGATTCGCTCAACTTTTACTGCCATCTCTGTGATAAATTCTGCAGTTTGCCACGCTTCACTGCATTTCTAGATCTTAAGACTATTTTTAAGATATATAAAAGAAAATCTGCAGTGTGTACATAATTCAAGAATTCAACAAGTTGGCATTTCTCCAAAGATCTCCACAGTATGGGATTTAGGAAGTTTACATTAAAATCCATCCTCAGAGCAGGAATAAACATTCATGCAGTGCCYCTTACCCTAATATCATGAGCAGCAATCAGAGCAACTCCACTGAAAGTGCCTGAGAAGGGGAAATGATTGCATAGGCCTGGGAAACAGGCTTCCTTCGAACGTGCTCTCATTCTTTCTCCTCCTTTAAACAGTGATGCTTTTTGCTTGGTTTTTAAATTACTACCATCCTTTATAAGCCCCATTTTGCCCTTTGAGATCTTGGGAAATGCTTTATTCTCTGGGGGACCCCTGTGCTCTTGCCACTAAGTCCAGAGCAGACACCAGCTCTGCTGTGCAGCCTCTCCCCAGGAGAAGTGCAATGGCTGAAATTACAACACTACCAGGAGTATGTCTTTGCAAAGAGTTATCATCCCTTCATGGAAAGGGATAGTTGAAGGGGCAGAAACGCTGCTATCATTGTATGCCTGAGAACGGGAGAAACAGTGTAAACTTTTCAMACTTGTTTAAGCAGAACCGAAGTCCTGGCAGATCCGCAGTCCGCCTCCAAAGACTTAGGTTAGGCACCCTCTAAACACTGCATAAGTGCTTTCATAAATCAATATACCCCAATTAAAACACACATATTACATTGCTGGACTGGTTGCCCCTTTTTTTTTTTTTTTTTTTTTAAAGCAACGCTTTTGTAAAAAGCTCATTCTGCACCTGGGCAGGAGCAGGATATCCTGGAATTTCAGCTGAAGTCCCTCCTCGGCTATTGTGCAAATAGAGGTGTATAAAGAGACCTTACCTCAGTGGGGCCACAGTGGAGACCCTGCAACAAGGACACTCACATCGAAACAGCAGCAGCCAGGGGAGGGATCGGTCCCAGGTAAATGGCTCTTTATGCCACTGTCTGCTCTCTGAGGAGGACAGGGCGCTTCTTTTCTACCAGTGTGCCTGTTCTTTGAGGCTTTTCTTTTTTGCTGGTGTTGCTGATGGTTAATTCACTCCCGAATAGCAGCCAGTTCAGGCCTCTAGATGGAAATGGCCTGATTTGAATCACCCTTATTGATATATCCCCCATCAAAATTAAACAGATGGGCTCGATCAGTTCCTGACTGAAAATGCAGGCCACGCTGTAGTGGACTGAGCAGAGCTGCTGTTTTACTGTAGACAAAAGCATCTGCTTTTCCTGATGAGCTTCCAGCAGCTGGAAGAACGCTCAGAACCACTACAGAGCTGTCCCAAGTCTCTGCTATGGCATCCTGTAGCTTTAACAGGCAGATTAGTATTTCCTGGGCCTTTCTTCTCCCCRAGCTTTGGGCTATTAGTCAATCTTTGCCTGAACTGATCTTTTCTCTCGCAGTTATCGCCAGCTAGAAACATGCACYGCTTTCTGTTGCTCTGCTCCTTCCTGCTCTGCAATGGCTTAATGGAGGCTGCACAGAGGAAGGTCCAGGAGCTCCCTGCTGAAGAGGAAGAGGAGGAAGGTCCTCCCCAGATACAGACCCCACAGACTCTCTCTCGAGGTGAGTGACCAGGGTGCACGAGGCCGTCCCAAGGAACCAGCACTTCCTGAGTATCRTCCATCACAGTGTTTAGCAGGTTCTTCCACCCCTGTATCCACACAGACAAATATCTGAGTACAGTGGCTGGAAAATCTCCCTGAATTCCCATGCAGAAGGAAGTGCCACTGTGGCCAAGAGCACTGGTGCATTCAGTAGAAGTCCTCACACCCTGTACTTGGGAGCAAGTGTAGATGCTTTGCTTCAAACGTGGCTGGGGACACAGACTAATCCCCTGGCTGCTGCTTCAGCTCTTGAGGTGCCAGCCAGGAGGCAGCCCCAGCAGCAGCCTCTTCGTAGAGGGGCTCAAGATGCTATGAAGCTGCATCAGCACCAACAGCAAACCCACTGGGCTCTTAGGAAAGATGGATGAGTTCAAGGAAGAACTCCCGGCTCCTAATGTTCGGTGGCTGGARATACCTCTCCATAGTCCTTGTCAACCATCTGAGCTGTAGGAAGGATGGGATTTCATTCCCCTTCCCCATCATCTGTCTCTTCACACATTTCTGCTCATGGGGCTCCTGGTACCCAAAAACACCTAGAAGGCCTGAACACCCTGTGAGAAGGCAACTAGTAT